ACAGCATCTCAACATATTATTTAAATCAGCGGATATTGTGTTAAAATTGTATAATGCAGAATGAAGGCCTCATTTAGAATACTGTATGCACTTTTGGTTGCCACATTACATAAAAGATGCTTTAGAATCAGTCCAGCAAAGAGAAACCAGATACTTTCTGGAACCTAAGGGACTGTCCTACATTGACTGGCTGAAGGGACTAAATCTCTTTAGTCTTGAACAGAGAAGACTGTGAGGAGACTGATGCAAGTATTAAGGGACTGTCCTACATTGACTGGCTGAAGGGACTGAGTCTCTTTAGTCATGAACAGAGAAGACTGTGAGGAGACCTAGTCATGTTGTTGAAACCGGATATCCTGATTTCTTTCCAAAAAACAGTTAGATGAGATTCTGAGAACAATTAAATGTGAAATACCAAATGGTTCCTCTTATTTGTGACCTGTCTTCTGTTTTTAAATGACGGCAGAGGATGAAGCTCTCACTAAAGTTTTGAAGGAAGCACCTACAGTAAGTGTTCTGTGTTTGCATATCTGACCCTATGACCCCAGGGGGCACAGAGAGACACCCCCTATTGAAACCCAAGAATGTCTGAAACCAGGAGTGCTCCGGTTTCGGTCTTGATCGGCAGAAGCCCAGGGGACCAGTGGTCCTCTGGGAGCTGAGCTGGAGTGCCTGTGTTCAGATTCGGGATGTTTTGGGTTTCAGCCCAACCCAACTGGAGACATGACCATAATTCCAAAGCTACATCGATCGTTCCCAGTCCTGGACAGAAGTGTGCTACTACTGCAGTCGTGGGGGCTGGGGGAAAGAGGTGATCAAGTCTACACAATACAGCTCCTCAATCTCTCGTCCTTTGTCATTCTTTTCTCTGCTGCTTGCAGAAGTTTCAATGACCTATTTAGAGATTGGGGATTAGAATAAATGGAGAAATCTGTGAGGGATTTGAGCCCACAAATGTGAAATCAGTACTGGAAGTCCTACCCACTATTCCACAGCATCACCCTCTTGCTTATCTGATGATGTCTCTTGCTCAAAGGAAGACAGAGCCGGCACAGGCATGACAACTGAATAGTTTGCCACAGCTAACGCAGACAAGCGCTTGTTTAAACAACGGGAGAAGCTCTTCAGGGAAATGTAAAAGAAATCCATTTGATTTTACGACATCATGACCCTTGGTCTTAGTAATCTCTGGATGAGGAGCTTGTTTTTCAAATCCTCTTTGATTTCCGATAAACATCCGTGCCTCTTAATCGCTGAGAAGACAGAAATACTGCACACAGCACTGCACAGCACTGAGAAACAGCAGCCCAACTTTGTAAACACACTCAGGTGTGCAGTGTGTGTGTGCTGGTGCATTCAGGACCAGTGTCTGCAGTCAGGTGTGCAGTGTGTGTAAATGTATTCCATTCAATGTTTAAAGAGTCAGCAGGGAGCAGGGAGGGAGGACTGCGCCCATCACAGCTGACTTTCAGTGTGCTGAGGTGGAGTGAGGGGCAGGGAGGGAGGACTGCGCCCATCACAGCTGACGTTCAGTGTGCTGAGGAGGAGTAAGGAGCAGGGAGTGAGGATAGCGTCCATCACAGCTGATGTTCAGTGTGCTGAGGAGGAGTGAGGAGCAGGGAGCGAGGACAGCGCCCATCACAGCTGACTTTCAGTGTGCTGAGGAGGAGTAAGGAGCAGGGAGTGAGGACAGCGCCCATCACAGCTGATGTTCAGTGTGCTGAGGAGGAGTGAGGAGCAGGGAGGGAGGACAGCGCCCATCACAGCTGACTTTCAGTGTGCTGAGGAGGAGTAAGGAGCAGGAAGTGAGGACAGCGCCCATCACAGCTGATGTACAGTGTGCTGAGGAGGAGTAAGGAGCAGGGAGTGAGGACAGCGCCCATCACAGCTGATGTACAGTGTGCTGAGGAGGAGTGAGGAGCAAGGAGTGAGGACAGCGCCCATCACAGCTGACGTTCAGTGTGCTGAGGAGGAGTGAGGACTGCGCCCATCAACACTGATGTTCAGTGTGCTGAGGAGGAGTGAGGAGCAGGGAGTGGCAGAGCCTGGGACAGCATCCTCAGAGTGTGTATGATGTACAGATGACTACTGATTCCTAGTTTTAAAAAAGGGCACACATTAGTAGCAAATCAAAAACCTACTGCTGCAAGCGCTGGTCACAACAATTCAAAGTGTGACTGGAACAGAAATCCAGGAGGTCAGACCCAGGTCACTGCACATCTAAATACACCTCAGTCCCAATATCCTGCCATCTTCCCTGTAAACCTTCCCTGCCCTCCCTGCTAAGCAGACTGCAGGCAGCTTTCAACTCCCAGCTTCCTCCCTTTGCTGCCCCTGCTCTAAACAAGGAAACCAGATCTCCATCACCAGGCTGCGAGAGGCCACACGCTCCTGGCAGCTGTGCCACATCGGGGTACATGGTGTCTCAGCGCTCTGAGCTCCTACAGCACTGGGGCGCACTGGCACCCCACATTCCCACTGGAGAGGAGCACTGTAGGTGAGGCAGGGGGGCGGGTCCTGAACACTCTGCAAGGACAAACACCTTCAAAATCAATTCTTTCATACACCATGTACCTAAAATTTTAATAAAATGTTACTATATATTGGAACATGTAAGCCGTTGTATGCTCTGTTTTTTTTTAACTTGTAGGGCCAAGTTAAGGGACACTTGTTACTCGTGTGTCCCTGTTTAAGGAGCTGTGTCTCCAGGACTGGAACTCAGAACTGTTACTGACTCAGAAGACTCATAGAGTCTTCCACTCAGGCACAGTAGATAGGAATTGAACATCGCTCAACACCACACTGTGATCACTCACTGTCGACACAACAGTCTCTCTGGACAGGTGACTGTCAACACAACATTCTGCACAGATCACTGTCTAGCCTCTCTATACAGATCACTATCAACACAACAGTCTCCCTGTAAAGATCGCCGTCAACACAACAGTCTGCACAGATCACTGTCAACACTGCATTCTGCACAGATCACTATTGAAGAAAGATATAAGATGTGAAGAAGGGGTTAACTGATTCCTTTCTACACAAAGGCAGGGATGGGGGATCAATTGATAAGAATTCCAGATGCAAGCTAGAGACCCTCCAACTAAGGAAACCTAAAACCGACCATTAAAAGTGGTCAAAGTCTGGGAAATGTCCGAACACCTTGACCTCCCCCCATTACCATGGTAACCAATTGCATCAGAAACGGCTGAAATTTCCTATATAAACTGGAAGTTTTGTATCTTTATTTCGAACAATACTTTGGTCTTATTGTTCCTTGCATGCAATAAACTCAGTTGTTTAAACTTCATCTCAGGATTCAGAACTTATTTGTCTGTTACACTATGAACACAACAGCCAGTCTGCACAGATCACTGTCAACACAAAAGTCTATCTATACAGATCACCGTCAACACAATAGTCTCTCTGACAGATCACTGTCAGTAAAACCAACTCTCTGTACAGATCACTGTGAACACAACCATCTGTGTCTCTACACCTGTTATTTAAACACTGTTTGTGTGTAGTGAAGCGAATCTGTTCCAGGGAATCTCAGTGTCAGAGCACAGCAAAGCCGGGAGACAGGCCTGGTCCGTATGAGGGTGCTTTAGGCTATGGCACAGAGCTGCTGCACACACAACCTGGGCTCTGAGCTCTCCGCCCCAGACACAGACACTGCAGCCGGACGTACCAGACAAATGAAGATACTCCCTGCTTTCCTCTTTTCTGCTAATTAAGCACATGCTGTGATTCACAGCTCCTTAATGAGGTATTTACTCAAAACCACTGACCTACAGGTGGATCTGTATCATCCTGAAGCCGATTGCAATTAAAACTCAATCAGGCTCATATTGGTCTCCCATTACCAGTGACAGAGGAAAGCTCACAGGACAGAGAGGCCATTTACCTCAGCCGACAAGAGCCTGCATGTTTCTGTGAGGAAAGCTTGAATGGAGTGAGTAGCACCCCTGAGTAGAAAGAGGAGGCAGAGGAGACCCCTCCCAGCTGGAGAGAGGGCACAGAGAGTGGTGCACCCATGTGGAGAGAGAGGGCACAGAGAGTGGCGCCCCCATGTGGAGAGAGAGGGCACAGAGAGTGGCGCCCCCATGTGGAGAGAGGACACAGACAGTGGCGCCCCCATGTGGAGAGAGAGGGCACAGAGAGGGGTGTCCACCCATGTGGAGAGAGAGGGGACAGAGTGGCACCCCCATGTGGAGAGAGAGGGCACAGACAGTGGCGCCCCCATGTGGAGAGAGTGGGGACAGACAGTGGCGCCCCCATGTGGAGAGAGTGGGGACAGACAGTGGCGCCCCCATGTGGAGAGAAAGGGCACAGAGAGGGGTGTCCCCCCATGTGGAGGGAGAGGGCACAGACAGTGGTGCCCCATGTGGAGAGAAAGGGCTCAGAGAGGGGTGTCCCCCCATGTGGAGAGAGGGCACAGACAGTGGCGACCCCATGTGGAGAGAGAGGGCACAGACAGTGGTGCCCCATGTGGAGAGAGAGGGGAGAGACAGTGTCCCCCCCCATGTGGAGAGAGAGGG